GTGGATTGCTGTCCAGAGCATCCCTACAGCGAGGCGTCAGCGGTGACGTCACCGAGGCAGAGGATCCGGCTGGATGCCGGAGGAAGTGACATTGCGTGGAGGAGCCAGGCAAAGGAGTTCGCGGAGCGGCCACAAGAGGGCGCCACAAGTGCAGCGTGAGACGTCGAGTGCTGATCAGTGTCGGTGAGAGTACCAGTGAAGCAATTGTGAGTACATTTTCGACCTTATTAATAGGAAGAATTTAACTTCAACAATTCAAGAAAGTGCATTGAAATTTAAACCTTAAATTCACTAGATAATTAACTTAGTCGTTGGTAATATTAGTTTGAACTTGTATTTATTTTAAGCAAAAAGTGGTTTAGACGGGGAATCCATGCCCGATTTTACTTAGAAATACAAGTTTAAATTACTTGTAAAATTTTAATCATTACAAAATGACTTAGAAAAATATCGGAGTGCTTCAAGTAAATTTAGATTTGTTTAAAGCGTTTTTTTTTTGAAAGTGTTTAGTGGACAATAAGTTTATTTATATAGAAATTTGTGTATTTTATTTGTAATATAACCTACTTGTGTTTTTTTTTTCTAAAAATGGAGTCTCTTATTGACATTCAGGAAGAGATTAATGCTAAAATGCTCAAGTCAAAATCTAACTTTAAAAAATGTCCTAAAGAACGTCTAACTGTTTGTTATATAGAAACTAGGATTGAAAACTTAGAACAGCAATGGCAATTATTCTACAAAACACATGTAAAATTAATTAGCGAGGTAAAAAAGTCTGATTTATTTAGTTCAAATTATCATAAGAATGGCTTATATGATGAGGTGGAAGAGTTTTATATACAGTTTAAAAGCGAGTTGAAAGAAATATTAAATAATGTTAAAATGTCTAGTGAAACGTGTAATGTTAGTCAAGGATCTAGCTGTAGTACAGAATTTAGAAACTTTAAGTTACCTGAGGTTAAGATACCTGTATTCTCTGGAAATTATAGTGAGTGGCAGTCGTTTAGGGATTTATATTTAGGGTTAATACATAATAATAAAACTCTAGACGGTGCACTGAAATTATATTACCTTAAAGGTTACTTAACTGGAGATGCAGAACAACTATTAAGAAACATTAATGTAACATCGGATAATTATACGGCTAGTTGGGAAAAATTAGAGTCAATGTACAACAATAAATGATTTTTAGCAAAGGGAATTTTAAAACGTTTGTTTAATCAAACGAGTTTAACTGTAGAATCAGCTACTGAAATAAAAAGATTACTTAGCACTACATCTGATTGCTTAGATTCAATAAAAAATTTAGGGATAGATGTAACTTCTTGGGACATCCTAATAATACATATTGTTAGTGCCAAGTTGGATAGGGACACCAGGAAAGCCTGGGAATTAAAGGTGACTTCAGATTCCACGGATGATTTGCCTACTTTTACTCAATTTACTGCCTTTTTAACTAGGCGTTTTCGTGGCTTATAAAGTGTAGAAAATAAACCTCATGTTCAAAGGAGTTCGCAATCGTTTCATGTAGTAGGGAAAGGAAAAGCGGAGTTATCTTGCCCTTTTTGTTCTGCCGCTCATAAAGTAACTGCGTGTAAAGGTTTTGCTAAAGAACGTAACGATACTCGACGTGATTTCGCACAGAAAAATGGGCTATGTTTCATTTGTTTGGATAGTAACCACTCTGCCAGATTTTGTAGAAACACCGTCAGATGCAATTTATGTAAAAGACGCCACCATACTTTATTGCACCCTAGCGGTGGTTCTGGGTCTGTTGGTGAGGGCACGGGCGTTGTTCATAAGGAAACAGTGCCAGCTGTTACTAGGAATATTACCTCAATGGAGGAAACTCAAAAGACCGCTGTACAAGCGGAGGGATCTACTAAGCCAATAGTTTCATGTCTTTCGACAGGAAATTGTAAGGAAACGGTTTTAATACCTACGGCTTTAGTAAAGGCCAGGTCAAAGGATGGAACATATTGTTTAGTTCGCGCATTAGTAGATCAAGGGTCACAAGGATCTTTTATCACGGAATCAATGGCTCAATATTTAGGGTTAAAGAAAATTTTAACTAAACACCGGGTTACAGGTGTAGGCGGCAATAAAACAGTTATGTCTAATTCTTCCGTAGTTGTTGGTATACGTTCTCGAGTGAATCCAGATTACAACGTTCAAGTTAATGCTTATGTTTTGAAGTCTATCACATCCCTTCTCCCAGTTGTAACAACAACTCGGGTAGAATGGGTAAAATTGAATGAAGACGTTTTAGCAGACCCTGAGTATCACAGGCCTAATAAAATTAACGTTTTATTAGGTGCTGAGATATTCAGCCAAATTCTTCAAAATGGAATCCAAAGGAGTACTAGTGGATCGCTTGTAGCACAAGAAACAGAATTAGGATGGATTATTTCGGGTGTTGTCGGTACAGAAGGTTCGTCCGTTATTAATTCATATCCTTGTATCACTGTCATGCATATGTTCAAGCTGATGACTTCTTACGTAAGTTCTGGGAGATAGAAGCGGAGCCATCGGGAACTGAAAAAATACTTAGTAAAGAGGAAGAGGAATGTGAGAATATTTATACAAATACCACAAGGCGAGACAAAACTGGACGTTACATTGTAAGGCTGCCGTTCCGGGGTGGTAACCAAAGTTGTAAGGATGGTGAATCTAGGTTCATATCTAAAAAAAAGTTAGAGTTTAGAATTTAAACATTCAAGGAATCACAAATTAAAGGCAGATTACACTGCGGTGATGCAGGAGTATATTGATCTTACCCATATGGTAAAGGTATCTCCAGAAGAAAAGAATAAAGGGTTGTACTTACCTCATCACGCAGTACTCCGGGAAGATAAGCAGACAACTAAGGTGCGCGTGGTATTTGACGCTTCCTGTGAAGGAATAAATGGGGTATCGTTAAACGGTAACCTGATGGTTGGGCCGACATTGCAAGCAGAATTACGACATACGGTTATGCGTTGGAGAACACATCCAATTTGTATAAGTGCTGATATAATTAAAATGTATAGACAAGTTCTTGTCAATAGAGATGATACAATGTTTCAGAGGGTTCTTTGGAGGGATAGTCCTGAAAAAGAAATTGAAGAATTTGAATTAGTGACGGTTACATTTGGTACTTCATCGGCGCCATTTCTAGCAGTGCGTTCTTTACATCAGGTTGCTTATGATGAAAGGAAGGATCATCCATTAGCAACAAAAATTATTCTTAACGATTTCTACAAGGATGATTTAATGACGGGGGCAGAAAGTGTAGACGATGGATATAAAATTCATACAGAAATAAAAAATATTCTAGCTAAAGGGGGATTTCAATTGAAAAAATGGACAAGTAACAGCAAAGAATTACTAAGCAAGATAAGAGTAAGCAAAAGGGATAAGGCTGAAGAAGTAAAAATAAAAATAGATAATATTACTAAAATACTCGGACTTACCTGGGATCCTTGCGCTGACATTTTCCAGTACTCTGTAGAACTGCCTATCCCGACGGAACCTGTAAGTAAAAGGAAAATTATATCGGATATTTCTAGGCTTTTCGACCCGTTAGGGTGGTTGTCACCTACTATCATTTTAGCTAAAATTTTGATACAAAAGCTATGGTTAGCAGATATAGGTTGGGATGAAGAAGCGCCCAGTAGTTTATTAAAGGAATGGATTACTTACCGCAAAGACTTAGCTTCTTTAGTGAATGTTAAAATCCCACGTTGGGTTAACACTAAATCCAGCAATGTAAAGACGGAACTACATGGTTTTTTAGATGCCTCAAAAATGGCGTACGCTGCAGTGGTATACGTCAGAGTTATAGATGCAGAGGGCAACATTCAAGTGGCGTTGGTTACCTCTAAAACCAAAGTTTCTCCGATCAAACAGGTGTCAATACCTAGGTTAGAACTATGTGGAGCCGTTCTATTAGCTAATTTGATGGTGGACGTTGCGAAAACTCTAGATATAAATGTATTAGATGTGCACGCTTGGACGGATTTCGAAGTTGTTCTCGCATGGCTTAATAGCCATCCTAGCCGTTGTAAAACGTTTGTGGCCAATCGCGTTGCAGAAATCTTAAATACATTGGATACCCATTATTGGTCATATGTGCCATCTATACACAATCCCGCGGATTGTGCCTCTCGCGGCGTGGCTCTAGGAGAACTCTGCAATACTGCGATATGGTTCAATGGACCCGAGTTTTTAAGGCAATCAGTGATAGAATATAAAAAACCTAAACACTTGATTACTAAATTGGAGGAAGTAAAGGTCCATTCAGGTATCCTTGACATTTCGTTTTGGGAGAGGTTTTCATCGCTTTCAAGAATGATCAGGGTAGTAGCTTACTGTAGAAGGTTCTTGTACTTAAGAATCAAATGTGCTAACAAGGAAAGAAATAAACAGTTGTCGACGAAGGAACTCGAAGAGGCAATGGAGGTATGCATTAGAAAGGGTCAAGAAGAAGAGTTAGAAGAAGAAATACAACAACTTAAGAAGACGGGATCGTTAGGTAAAAAGGGAAGAAAGTACAAATCGTTAAATTTATTTTTAGACTCAAAGGGGATAATTAGAGTAGGAGGTAGATTAGAGATGTCTCAGTTGAGTTATGATTGCAAACATCCTATACTTGTACCTAAAGATTCCTTCCTCGCTAAGCTTCTCTTAAGCGAAGCTCATCTTAAAACGATGCATGGGGGGCCTCAAGCTATGATCGCTTACTTGAGATCTCGATATTGGGTTGTAGGGATTAAAACTTTAGTATGGGCGTATTTTAGAATGCGTAACTTGTATAAGATATACAAATAAAGCCAGAAGCCAACTAATGGGACAGCTACCATCTGCTCGTGTTACACCAAATAAAGTTTTTCTGTACAGTGGCGTCGATTACGCTGGCCCCATAAACATCAGAGTGTCTAAAGGACGCGGTAATAAGTCGTACAAGGGGTATGTCGCACTCTTCGTCTGTCTATCTACGCGGGCGATTCATATTGAACCAGTCAGTGACATGACTTCCAAGGGTTTCTTAGCCGCTTTTAAGAGATTTGTGGCAAGGCGTGGACATTGTGCAGAACTACACAGTGACAACGGCACAAATTTTGTTGGCGCTGCGCGAGAGCTGCAGGAATTATTTAATGAAGAAAAATCTAAATTCATTCCCGAACTGGTTGAGTGTTTGGCAAATAATGGCACAAAGTGGAACTTTATTCCTCCTCACGCTCCAAACTTTGGAGGTCTATGGGAGGCAGGAATAAAGTCCACCAAATACCATCTCAGAAGGGTTATAGGGAACTCTACATTAACGTTCGAGGAACTAACGACGGTGTTGGCACAGATTGAGGCGTGCCTAAACTCGAGACCGCTTTCTTGTGTTGACCAAAATGAGTTAACGGTATTAACTCCGGGTCATTTTCTGGTTGGGGAACCACTCGTTCTTGTACCTGATTCAAATTACGAAAAGGCTAACATTTCTAGTCTCAGACGGTGGCAACTTACCCAAAGGATGGTACAGGACTATTGGCGGCGGTGGTCACAAGATTATTTAAATCAATTTTTACAACGACATAAGTGGGCTCACCAAAATCCAGAGCCGGCCATAGGTTGCATAGTTCTAGTAAAAGAGGATGATTTACCTCCTGGTAAGTGGTTACTTTGGAAGATTGAGTTAAAACATCCTGGCCCTGACGGAATCACTCGAGTCGTTACTGTTAAAACTAAAAATTCCCTCATAAAGAGACCTATTACCAAATTAGCTATTCTTCCTGTAGCATCATAAATTTAGTGCTTCTAAGGTATAATTTAATAATATGTATTGTTAGGGATGATGTTATAGGATGTACCTAGTTTGTAAGCATTACGAAATTGTTTTTTTTTTGTTTTGTCATTTGTATACTTTGTATTATTATATTAAAATTTTGTATCAGCGCTCCCCATATCACTAGACATGATGTTGCATGGTGGGCGGTTTAGATTAAGAGAAGGACATTATTCAATATGTCCTTGGTGGGCGGTATGTTTAATATTTTGTATGTGTAAACTTTACTTAACGCTTCCATAGATGGCGTTGGGATCGAAATAGAAATAGAAAACCATGTATATGTTTTTTTTATTTTTGTTGGGTTGAGATTCCTTGTGAATAAAGTCATTGTAATTGAAGCAGTTGTGTGTTTCATTCTGTGTGCTCGCCTTCGGATCTTGGAAATCTGAACACTGAGTAAATATTAACCTTTGATTTCTACACGCAACTTGCAGACTGAACCAATGATGAAGTGCAATACGATTTAATTTATATAAATACATACAATAGAAGTGTCTCTCTGGAATACCAAACTAAATGCCTTATTTTATAACGAGGGGGTTATTTTCATGCCATTACAACATTAATAACCATTTTTAATTTTATCTGTGTTTTTATTTGTCTGTTTGTATGTCTGTACGGGGTAATCTTAAGAATAGCTGACAGAGCTATGCAAAGAGGGGTATATGTTTAATTTTACCTAAAAACCTTTAAGATTGTTTTGTAAAAAACTGAAAAATTGATAAAATTTGATAGTCATATAAAATAAAATAAATAGTAATAAAAATGGAGATTAGCATTTTAAGTCCTCCCTTTGTATCGTCTCTTACTACCAATGCAATATAGATTTAAAATAAATTTCACACAAGTACACTTTTTCTGCTTGTGTTTATTGCCAAAATGTCGATGAATTCTACGTTTAACCCTTTCGACTGTCCCGTTCACACTAAAGAACTATTCAAGAAATATTGATAGAAAAAATCGAACTAATTCCAGATTTTATAATTAAATATTATTTAAAACGTTATAAACTCATTAAACTACATCTGCTTTTACCGTAAAATAGGCGGAGGCCTAGTTTTACTATACCAAGCGGGAAATTAATTACGTCCTAGTCGAAACATAATCTGCGAAGCGGAGAACAATCATAAAATTAAAGCACGTCTAAAACCAGATCATTTTTAATTAGAAAATTTTAACTTTTAATAAAATATGTGAGATGACATTTTATTAAAATCAATACACAAAATGATATGCAAAACATGATGTGTGTAATAATATTTGAAGTTAAAGAAAACACGTGCGTGCTTTATTAGTAAATTACGTCAACGTATCTTGTAACGCGTCGTTGACAACCGACATGCGACATAAGACGTAATAAGCTGAGTAAGTAAGAGTTCCGCGATATTAGCACCTCATGTGCGGAATTTCGATTGACCAATTATACCATATGAAAGGTCAGAAATTGTTCATAAAAGGGCAGTTGGTCTTATTAATTGGTCAGCGTTAGATTTTTTTATTAAGGGTTAAAGTTTTTCAAGGTCATTGAGAAATCTTAGCAACTCATTCGCGAATAAAATAAAAAATTCCACCTATGCGCGATCGAGAAGCATTCGTTGATAATTGGTCAGCTTATATAAATATTTGGTCAGTTTAATTTAATATTAAAAAAATTAATAAGTTGTCATTGTCGTAACGCACATGCTTTTGGACGGATAATTGTATCAGGGCAGTGAGCACTTACGCACAGCTCTTTACTATGAACCAGACGGAGTGGGGGAAATATTTTTTATAATTTATTTTTGAGGAAAAAATCTTAGACATGTTCTACTATTAAATATATAATAATGGATAAAGAAATAGGTTTTTTTTTAAAATACGTGAAGGTGCATGCATTGGATTTGGGGGATTATAGTTAACTAGCTTATTTTATAATAATTTTATATAAACATGATTTTTTAATTAGAAAAATTTTATTTACATAAAAAATTACCATGAAAATTAATTTCTAAAATAGATTAAGTTCAATACATTTAGACGCTTGGCTTCGCGCGGTCATATGAACTTAGCCTAATCGTCATTTGCTTTGATTTCTTAGATTTGAGTTTCACGTGGTACCGCGCGGTCTGACTATTCATTCGCCTGTCAAGTGTCACCTATTTCATTACAGCCTTTCATAAGTCCACTGCTGAACATAGGCCTCCCCCAAGGAATGCCATAAAGCACGGTCCTGAGCCACCTGCATCCATCGACTTCCTGCATGTCTTACCAGATCGTCACTCCATCTCGTGGGGGTCACCCTACACTTCGCCTACCGGTACGAGGCTGCCACTCAAGAATCTTTCTTCCCCATCGGTTATCGATTCTTCGAGCTATATGGCCGGCCCACTGCCACTTCAGCTTACTAATCCGTTGGGCTGTGTCGGTTACTCTGGTTCTACTGCGGATATACTCATTTCTAAGTTTATCACGCAGAGAAACCCCGAGTATAGCCCTCTCCATAGCTCGCTGAGCGACCTTAAGCTTCCTCATACGGCCAGCAGTGAATGACCACGTCTCAGATCCGTAAGTCATCACTAGTAAGTGTCACCTATAATAACTTTAAAATAAAAATATTATCCTTTTCAGCCATAGAGCAATACCGGCCACCGGTGGACTGGAGGGGAGTAGCCATACTGTATTTTCCCGATACAGAAATGTCGAATGACGAAATGGGAAATCTGTACACAGAAAAACAATTGTTAATCACTACTAAACACACACATAATAATTAAAACAATAAACTAAAAGTTTCGCACACACATGGTACATTATAGCAGTATCGTTTTCTGACAGCGACAACTCGGACATAGACTTGGATCAGTCGCTCGACCGATCTGCATATTGTACGAGAGCAAACGGCGTATGTTCGTAAACAAATCCGAAACAACATGACCGTTATTTTTGTAATTTTTATTAATATGAATTTATTAATAATAATGTGATCATAAATTACTTAAATATGAAAGGTTATGCCATTTTTTTTTTAATTTGGCATGATACATCTTTTTTTGCAGCAAAAAACTGAACAGTTCGGTATTTTTGTAGGACGTCGATTCAGCTGTGCTACTAGATTTAGTTTAGTGAGTAGTGTGGCTGCAACAAGTTTAATTGTTCGCATAGGACCTCGTTGACTTATACTTTCATAGAGAGGACCGCATGCGTAATGCCTATACTCCTCTCCGGTCCGCCGGTGGTCTGTGTTTTTCTATGTATTAAGCGCTAGCACGGGATAAAGTAAAGTATCAGGATGAGTTAGTATATGAAACGCGTGCAGTTTGTGAGATAAATATTCACAAGCGGCTGTCGACGCCTCGCGTCCAGTACAATAATGGCATTGGGATGTTATTGAGGCTACCCTGATTAACAGTTCACCAAGATGACTACTACGTCCATTATGACACCTATTCCATAATGATTTCGTATATTTACGCGAAAACTACACATTAAATTAAAATAATTTTACGGATTTTACAGATTTTTACGGATTTGTGTGAACATGTTCTGGATCCTCTCCGCCATTACATTAGATTTGATAGACCACAAATCCTCGCAAAATTACCAGATTCCTTCCAAGGATGATTCGCGAGGCTATTGCAATTTAAAAAACATTCTAATTTCAATAGAGAATACGGATGTGTGCTGCCATCTGCTTGGGATCCTATAATCAATAAAATTAAATCTAAACCCAAGTATACCACTGCAAGACTTCAAGATACTGTAAGCTCATTCTGCGTAGATCGGACCAAAAATTTATATTCTAATACGCTTTGAAGGTAACCGGGCTAACTATGACATTTGAACGTCAAACACCTCAGTACCCCCGTGACCATGGGTGTTGTAAAGCCACCGAAACGTCTAGAATTTAAAAAGTTAAATTAGAGGCGATAAAATCCGTAAAATTAGCACCTACTCCTGTATTATTATGATCGACCTTAACGCAGCCCATCCACGTGTTCTTAGGACTCCCTCTACTATTATAATCCACTTTCATAGCATTTACCTACTATATTATCAATCCTTTATAACCTTTATTTATCAAAGATGGAATACGATATGCATCAAGGCTAAAAATATTTGAACATCGCGTGTGAATTATTTAGTAACCTACAACATGGCTAAGACACGCATGCTATTATAAAACGTTTTGCCGCGTATCTATATTTGTAACTACATTTTAATTATTTCACCTCCTATATGAATTATGAAGCTAAGAACTTATCGAGCGATACTAAGCAGCACCCGCAGCGATAGAGGAACTGCTATTATAATTAAAAACTCACGAGTTTTGTGTGGATTTGTACGAGCCGGTGAAGAGGTGACACCCGCAATCTTGAAAATTCGGGCCGGTGCAAGGTGGGTCCATGCCGGATGTGCTGTTTTCACAGCGCTCGGTTCGCAAAGCACTTCTCTCCCTAGACATCCAGAAGTCGAGTGTGCCTGACGGAATCCCCCCAATTGTGCTGAGGACGTGTGCTCCGGAGTTGGCACCGGTCCTAACGCGTCTTTTCCAGTACTCCTACTCCCAAGGCGTAGTCCCGAATTCATGGAAGACAGCTTTTGTCCACCCGATCCCTAAAAAAGGCGACCGCTCAGACCCGTCCAACTATAGGCCTATCGCGATCACCTCCTTGTTCTCCAAAATAATGGAATCCATTATTAACTGCCAGCTCATCCGGTACCTTGAGGATCACCAGCTGATTAGTGACCGCCAATACGGTTTTCGTCGGGGTCGATCAGCTGGTGATCTTCTGGTCTACCTGACCCATAGATGGGCGGAGGCAGCAGAGTCCAAGGGGGAGGCGTTGGCCGTTAGTCTGGACATTGCGAAGGCCTTCGATTGGGTTTGGCACAAAGCGCTTCTTTCGAAGCTCCCTTCCTATGGGCTTCCCGAGAAATTGTGCAATTGGATCACCAGCTTCCTTGCAGATCGGAGCATC